AAAAAAACCCCCCCCCCCCCCCTCCCCCCCCCCCCCCCCAACCCCCCAAAAAAATGTTAAAGAAAGAAATATTTATTCAAAACTCAAAATGAATAAAAACAACTTTTGGCGTCAAATTAAATTTATTTCATTTAAGATAATTATAACAGTTTACAGAAGGTTAATTGGTGTTGAGAGATTTTGTTTAAAAATGTCAATTTTTTAAAATCTCTAACAGACCTGCCCATGTTAAAATGAACAAATCTATATCTAAATAACGTACCCGCCCATGTTGAAATGAACAAAGCGATATCTAAGTGGGCACATTATAATATATTCCTCAGAATCGAAGAGCTGTGGCGTCAGGTGGTCTGTAACTCAAATACCTTCACTCAACTTCGATGTGGTGGTGTTGTTAGGTTGGATATTTTACAAAATTGCGTGTTGATGTGTCACGGACACCTGTCAATAGTGGCAAGAGTAATGTGATTTTGTGCATGGTCTCATATTTTCTAGAAGCAGTATTGAGGGCAAAAGAATAAAGCAACATTTTCCTGACCTATAATAGGAGTATCAGAGTAAGAGTCACAGTCATTACCTGTATCAGAGTAAGAGTCACAGTCATTACCTGCATCAGAGTAAGATTCACAGCAATACATGTAAGTATCAGAGTAACAGTCACAGTAATACCTGCATCAGAGTAACATTGGCAGTCATCTTCTGTAAGTATCAGAGTCACAGTCACAGTCATACATGTATCTGAGTGACAGTCGCAGTCAACACCTGTAAGTTCACAGTAAGTGTCAGAGTAACAGTACCAGTCATAACCTATGAGTCATCTCTCGTGCACAGAGGCACCTTCTCTTCACCATCGCACCTGCTCATACTTACCGCATGGGATGATTGCTAAAAGGAAGTAAATAAAGAAGCAATTAGTTTGATCACAAAAGTAGACTAGACCGAAAATTGCAGTCTTATTACAATACACCGACACAGACACGTTGAATAAAAAAACAGAGGCACACGCTGAGACACACGCTGAGACACACGCTGAGACACCACGCTGAGACACACGCTGAGACACCACGCTGAGACACCACGCTGAGACACACGCTGAGACACACGCTGAGACACACGCTGAGACACCACGCTGAGACACACGCTGAGACACCACGCTGAGACACACGCTGAGACACACGCTAAGACACACGCTGAGACACACGCTGAGACACACGCTGAGACACACGCTGCAATACTTCGATGCCTGTGGACCGTCGCCGTTCCTCGACCCGCTGCCGTTTCACTGTCACACATGAATGAACAAGACAGGGCTAATTTACATTTCCCAGTCATCAGCTCTGGCGGTGAATAATTGATATCAGGTTGTTGTTTCACTCACGCGACCCTATCAACTGTCAGTTGTTACAGTTAGATCCCATCGTTATAACAGCGTGTCGAAATCCAATGCTGTAAAAAGGGTGTTTGCACGACGAAGGAAATATAGAGCAGAACGACTACAGCAAAGGACGCATTCAAAACGATCACGTGATCACGGTTTGAATCTATAGTTTTCTGGACGTGATTCAGTCGCGTGACAGGTTAAATGATACACCTTTAGTTGAAATATAGTAAACAATTTCGTCAATATGCATGAATAAAAATGTAACGTTGATTTAAACTAAATCAGTTATGAGAAAACTGTGGACATTATGTGGCCATACCTGTGGCAGCACAGCCGACTATTCAAATTATGAAGCCCTCCTAGTGATGCCAAGGCCAACTGTTGAACGTCTGTCGCCGTACATGTGTTAGCACAGCGGACTGTTGAACACAATTTTTTTGTGTGTGGAATAGACAGCCGACAACCCAAATTTCACTGGTCTGCCATGGCTAGCTTTGAAATCAGCAGTGACAGGTCGGTGGTGACCACACAAAGTCGGTGCTCATGTACCGCGGGTGTCGGACACATCTTGTCCAAATATGCTGACGTCTGCTCCCTGAACGGTGTTGTCTTCATCAAGAGCTCCAAGACCTGGACCATGAAACTCATCTGGGCATGTCTACTGGTCACCGCCATCGGCTTTATGGGTTTCCATTTGTACAGGTAAAAGAACTTTGAAACGTTTTCAAAAAGGGAGAAAAACCGGTTCGTTAAAAAAATCAAGAACTCAACTAATCGAACAATTCATGGATACATTTTTATTAAGTACCAGGTATCTCCCCGTGGTGCCTAAGGCGCCCTAACTCGGCACAATGAATGGCACACTTTTAGTCGTAGTTTATTTTAGTTAAACTGAAGAAGTAAGTTTACAAACATATAGTCCATTCCATTATCTTTCATTTGATACCTAATTTTGTCTTACAAACCCAATAATAATATTTTAAACTAGATAGAGCCCGCCAAACATTGGCTGCGTCAACTTCCAATCTACTATAATTACTTGACAAAACATGAACTCAAGTAACGCACATTTAAGAATCCCAATATTTGCTACACCCCTTCCCCCCATGATACGTCACTGCACACTTTTTTATTTCCCGTCCATGAACTATATTAAGATTCTCTTTTAAACCGAATATTTTTTTCTCAATGCTGAAATGGGAGTCGCTTAGTCGATTGATTTGTCACGTGATGAGAGTAAAAACGAGTAAGACTTCCGGTAGGTTGTATACAATACACTAGTGCTTGACAACAGTAGCCAGATAAACACTATAACTAGTAATTCAAGATGCCTAGGCAATTTTCGGCTTTTGGCTGTTCAAACAGTCAAGTTGAGGACAGCGGTATAAGTCTGCATAAGTTTCCACTTAAGGATAAAGACAATTTAAGACGATGGCTTGACAAAGTGGACCTTCGTTAATTATTCACATGAAATCTTGTTCCAACCGGTTATTAAAATATTCCTTCGCCGCACCGATATTGAATAAAAACGCAAATGACGTCATGGGTATGCCGACATTTCGTCCAATGAAAATTAACAATAAAATAAACAAAGGGGAATGACTCCTGCAGCAATATTGAATAAACACGCAAAATGACGTCATGAGCACGCACGGAGCTCAACAACAGCCTGCCGATAATAGTATTGATAATTCCCATCGAATATCGCTCACAAATTTTTCTTGAAATAACTTTCTTCCTTTAATCATAACTGACGTATATTTATTGTCACATCTATGGATTTCATTTAAAAAACGCGTGTATTCCAGAATATGTTGAAAGGTAAAAATTTTAAGTAACATGACATGGGGAAGCACTGATGAAGTATCTTTTGTTGTGTGTAGCAGCCTAGTGATGGCTTACTCTCATCACATGACCAAACAAGGAAGTGACTAAGCGACTCCCATTGATACGATTTCATTTCCGAAAAGAAAATAGTACGCACCAAATGCAATTTCGTTATTTTAAAAAAAAAATATACATGATTTAGCGTTGTTATCGGGAATTATATTTTGCGCACTAGTGAACTCATTATATAACCACACTCTGGCGTATCTATACATAGCCTGCGTGGTGGTGGTGTTTGACCTTTGCTGGCGAATTATATATATAAATAGTTTTTTTTTAATCCCAACCTATCACTTCTGGTACCCGGGTTCGAATAGTCGCATTCTTATTTTTAATTCATTGAGTTAAAGCAAAACTGTGATATTGTTTACATTCATTTGGGCCATTAACATTAGTTTTGATTTTATTTCGCAATTAGAAAGTGTTTAAAGTATGTTCTTATAAGATTGTTCGACTATTTAAAGACTCGAATGCTAAACGATATCTCATCTCCCTCTCCAGTCTTTTCGCGACATACTTTGAATATAAGAAACATACCCAGATTGATTTAACCTTCAGCAACCTCCAGTTTCCGGCAGTGACCATCTGCAATGCCAACCCGATCAGGAAGTCCAAGGTAGAAATTTAAGGACAAACAGAATCCAAAATTGTTAACTAGCTGTTGAGAGATTTGATTTTTTTTTTTTAAATTGGCCAAAGAATTGTCTGAAAGTGTATGCAGAACTGTCTGACAGTAGCCATAGAACTGTCTGACAGTAGCCAAAGAACTGTCTGAAAGTAGCCATAGAACTGTCTGAAGTAGCCATAGTAGTGTCTAAAAGTCGCCATATAACGGTCTGAAATTCACCATATAGAACAGTCTAAAAGTAGCTATAGAACTATGTAAAAGAATCTATAGAACTGTCTAAAAGTAGCGTTAGAACTGTCTGAAAGTAGCCATAAACTGTCTGAAAATATCTATAGAATTGTCTGAAAGTAGCCATATAACTGTCTGAAAGTAGCCATAGAAATGTTTGAAATTAGCCATAGAACCCTCTGAAAGTAGATATAAAACTGTCTGAAAGTAGCTATAGATGTCTGAAAGTAACCAAAGAACTATCTGAAAGTAGCTATAGAACTGTCTGAAAGTAGCCATAGAACAGTCTGGAAGTAGCCATAGAACTGTCTGAAAGTAGCAATATAACTATCTGAAACTAGCTATAGAACTTTATAAAAATAGCTATAGAACTGTGAAAGTAGCTATAGAACTGTCTGGAAAAGGCTACATACATGTATAATGTAACTATAGATCCGCCTGAAAGTAGCTATTGAACTGTCTGAAAATAAGTATAGAATTTTATAAATGTAGCTATAGAACTGTCTGAAAGCAGCTATAGATCAGTGAAAGTAGCTATAGAGCAGTCTGAAAGTAGCTATAGAACTGTATTTTTGTAGCTATAGGTCTGTTTTGAAGTAGCTATAGGACTGTGAAAGTATTATAAAACTGTCTGAAAATAGCTATAGAACTGTCTGAAAAAATAGAGATTTAACTGTATGATTGTAGCTATACTTCTTTCTCAACGTAGCGATAGAACTAATGGAAAATAGCTATTGATCTGTCTGAAAGTGGCACAAAAAACTGTATGACTTTAACTTTGAAAAATAAATCCAATGAAAAGAATACACAATGTGGTCATTTAAAATGTCAACTGCAGACAGAAGCTCTTCTTGTTCTGTTAGATCAACATTCTTTATGAAATATTTCTTTACTTTAACAACATTGTATAAATGAATACTATCAACACAGAAATCACTGGCCAGCACCGACCTCAACACCGTCATAGATGCCATAGATCCTGACAGACTGATGGGCCTTGTGGATGAATGGGTCCCAAACTACGCCCCGATACCACCAGGGAATTAGTAGGTCATAAGCTGATTGGACCGGGGCTAGTGTGTAAGAATAAATATATCCGAGAATATGTCACATGGAGCTGGCATTAAGTGTCACAACAACATAAATATACACAATATTATTGCGAGACCCGAGGCCTGCATCAAATCTGATGGCCTTATTTGCACACACCGATACACACACCCACACACCCACACACCCACACACGACCATACGGACACGCACAAACTCACCAGGGATTCTCAAAGCTTTGGAAGCCCCGCCCTTTAAATATACTGCTAGATCTCTTAACCATCCTGGTGCAAACTATATAGTAGGATTTGGATCACTGAATATGTGTTTATATACATCTCTGTGCACAAAATAGAACCGTATTATCTCACACTTAAGGGTACAGGTGCCATAGTTTAAGAATCATTCATAGACACCATACCCTGTTGTGAGAATGGGGAACGTTATGTCCTTCTTGCTTATCAATAACATTGTGACAGTCCATCGATCAGTTAAACGTTCAAAACCAACACTGCTAAACTTACAACACCATAAAGAAAGATTCACTATAGTCAACAACCGGGGGGGGGGGGGAGGAACATTACATAAGATAATATCTAAACAAATATTATCATACATATATATAATTTATATATTTTTAGCCCGCCCCCCCCCCTTTCCCCCCACTCACATTTCATATTGATTATGACATGTTTTTTTGTTTCTACCTATTTCTTGTAACCTAGCAACGGCGCACCCATGTTTGAAGATCCACAACGAGTCAACAATTTTTTCGATGACGTCGGTCTAAATTTAAATATTTCCTTTCCATGGGAAGACGACTCTGATGTTATGGAAGATTTTCAGGTTGGAACCGCTACAGAATCAATATAAGCTAGGGCCTGTACCCGGCCTTGGGCCTGAACGAAGCTCAAGCCTAAACCCAGCTCCGGCCCGAACCCAGGTCCAGGCCCGAACCCAGCGTCGGCCCTGAACCCATCCCCGGGCCTAAACCCGGCCCCTGGCCTAAACCCAGCCTGGGCCTGTACCCGGCCCCGACACAACCAATGGTGCCCCTCATTTTCCGGAGGTTTTGTGCGCAGAGAACTCAGTGTGTGCACCATATTAGAGATGGTGCACATTTTTATGCGCAGTGTGCAACATATTAGAGATGGTGCACATTATTATGCGCATTGTGCACCATATTAGAGATGTGCCCATTTTTATGCGCAGTGTGCACCATATTAGAGATGTGCACATTTTATGCACAGTGTGCACCATATTTGAGATGGTGCACATTTTTATGCACAGTGTGCAACATATTAGAGATGGTGCACATTATTATGCGCAGTGTGCACAATATTAGAGATGTGCACATTTTATGCACAGTGTGCACCACATTTGAGATGGTGCACATTTTTATGCGCAGTGTGCACCATATTAGAGATATAGAGATATAAACAAAAATAGTTTATTTCCAGTTTGGGGGACCAACCACCGCCCCCCCCCCCTCTTTCTACACCCCTGGAATGATTTACTTCCCACCAGAACATCTTAAATGAAAGAAGCCTCAAACACGTGTCTTCACAGAGTGTATTGAGAAAAGTGTTTAGGGATGTATTTAGCTTACGTTGTGATTGTGCTTTCTTTCAGGGCCAGAAGTTTAAGAGAGATGTTGAACAGAGCCCCACCACCACAACTGCCAACCCCGGCCCCACAACCTCCATCACCAGATCCAACACCACCAGTCTATACAGGACAGAACAACTCTTCAAATCTCTCTATAATGCCGAAGACAGGTAAAAGCCATTTCACTGCAGTAAAATAGTCCTGACAGGTGGGACATTTCTCATCGGTCAAATGGTCCTTGGCTGTGGGACATTTCACATTTGTGAAATAGTCTAGTCATTACCGGGTGGCAGGGAACATTTGTGAAATAGTCCTTACAGGATGGCAGGGAAGATTTGTGAAATAGTCTAGTCCTTACAGAGTGGCAGGGAACATTTGTGAAATAGTCCTTACAGGATGCAGGGAACATTTGCGAAATAGTCCTTACCGGGTGGCAGGGAACATTTGTGAAATAGTCCTTACCGGGTGTCAGGGAACATTTGTGAAATAGTCCTTACCGGGTGGCAGGGAACATTTGTGAAATAGTCCTTACCGGGTGTCAGGGAACATTTGTGAAATAGTCCTTACCGGGTGTCAGGGAACATTTGTGAAATAGTCCTTATCGGGTGTCAGGGAACATTTGTGAAATAGTCCTTACCGGGTGTCAGGGAACATTTCAGTGATCCTAAGTTGACAATATTTAAGTTTAATCATATTCACTGATGACTTTTAAGATTAATAGCAGATCTTGAAAGGAAAATAAAGGCGATGGAGATGAGATGCTTCAGAAGCATTTTTGGCATCCGCTATAGAGACAGTATCTCCAATGATACAGTGAAAAAAGGGTTCGTCAGGCAATTTGGGCAGTACGATGACCTCCTGGTGACTATAAAAAAGCGCAAACTACAATGGTACGGCCACGTAACAAGGAAACAAGGTCTTATCAAAGAAATATTGCAGGGCACCACAAGAGGAGGGAGAAGAAGAGGAAGGCAAAGAAAAAGATGGGAAGGTAACATCAAAGAGTGCACAGGACTAACACTGGGCGATGCAGTGCATAGCGGAGAAGACAGAGACGAATGGAGGAGGATAGTACACATGTCATCTGTGGCGCCCCAACTTCCAAGGACTAAAAGCACACGATGAAGATGATGATGATGATGATGATTTTTGGAAATGTACAGAAATCTTGAATTTATTTTTTTTATACGTACTAAATACTATGTCCAACAGCATTAATGTGTTCCTTATCCACACTGACCACTGGTCAGTCGATTCCATGATTAATGTCAGGATTTGTTGCAGTTGGACTCGTGAAGTCATGGGGCACAAAATACAGGACTTGCTCATTCAGTGTTCGTTTGCTGGCCGTGCGTGCATACAGAGGTTCGTCCTGTGAATGTGTGGCTAGAAACATTATGATGACGTTATGTTGAATCTTAGATGGAATTAAACCCCATGTAATATAATATTTAAAAATAAACATAACTAATCATAAAGTATACATCCTGTAGCCAGTGACTCCATACTGACCCAATCATATAACATACATTCTGTAGCCAGTGACTTCACACTAACTCAATCATATAACATATATACTGTAACCAGTGACTCCATACTGACACAATCATACAACCTAGCATCTGTAGCCAGTGACTCCATACTGACTCAATCATATAACATACAATCTCCTAACAGTGACTTCAAATTGACCCAATCATCAACATACGGGAACTGCTACACTATCCAATACTCGCAGTATGTTAGTCGACGCAGTGGGCCTTCGGACGGTGAGTTGTATTGTAAAATATATTGTTCATAGCATATATATTACATAACATATACAATAAATATATCACAACAAAATATATATATCACAACACTACAGACAACATATATATATCACATAGCATATATAAGATAAAATACATCTAGGACGCAACAAAAGTAGGAGGTAACAAATATTGCACGTAACAAATCTAGGTCGTATCAAAGCTAGAATTTAAAACAAAACACTGCAAAATTTGACAACACTACTACACAGATGGCAAACAATGTTCAGATGGTAAACAATGTTCAGATGGCAAACAATGTTCGACACGTACTTGGTCACGTGGTTTAAACGCAAATACGGGTATTTCAAAAAAAGTATAAGTTAAAGTAGAGCAATTAAAGTTAATGGATATAAAAACTTGTTAATTATTGTATTTTATGCTTAAGGGATATTTAAAATATTCATTTATCCAAGGATATTTGTACAGACTCATCTAAATTAAAGTAAAGCTTTTATTTGTTTTGTAGGTAAGGATAAGGCGGAGCCCATTCAGGTTTTCATTTCTGAGAGGAGGGGTGAGGGGGGAGGGTAAAAACCAAAACGTGGCCGGCTTGATAAGGTGTTTATACCTGGAGGAACCACAGTACATAGCAATTGAAATAAAACCTGAATTTTCAGGGTGGGGGGGGGGCAATGCCCCACCTTGAAATACCCAAAATGACGCCCCTGGTAAGGATATGATCTTATTTATAATTACAAGACCGTTACTTTGTAGGTCTGGAAGTTATCTTGTTTTATGTTACTATACCCTATATTTTGGTAGGTCTGGAAATGATCCTGTTCCTAGAGAGTGACGAGTACATCAAGGGAATATCTAGTGGGACGGGTGCGCAGGTAGTCGTCCATCAGCAGGAGACCGTGCCATTTCCTGATGACGAGGGTATGGCCATAGCAGCCGGGACTCAGTCAATTATAAGTATCAGACAGGTAAGTGGTGATGTTGTGGGACCATAGTTATCAGACAAGTAAGTGGTGATGGGGTGGGCCAAAGTTACCAGACAGGTAAGTGGTGATGTGGTGGAACCATAGTTATCAGACAAGTAAGTGGTGATGGGGTGGGCCATAGTTACCAGACAGGTAAGTGGTGATGTTGTGGAACCATAGTTATCAGACAGGTAAGTGGTTATAAGGTGGAACCATAGTTATCAGACAGGTATTTGTTTATGGCGTGGAACACTATGTTTAAGCTTTTATTATAATAATACTAATAATAATAATAATAATAATAATAAAGTTCATTTAACACCCTTCATCCTAATTAAGGCTCGTTAATGTCGTCGAGCGCATCGGTGCTGTCTCGCCTTTGATACCAAAATGCATCTAATAGTTGCGCAATACATCTAAAGAACATTAGTCTGAAAGTCGCAGGCAACCAGTTTTAAGTATCAAAAATGCTAATGGGGTTGGGGGGGGGGTGGGGGTGTTGGTGGTCTCAATGAGGGGTTGACCTTCTTTTTTTGAGACAGGAGCAACGAGCATATATTATACGTGTTCAACAAAATATTCATGTGAGCCACATTTCAAGTACCTGTATAATGGAATTTTTTTTTTTTTTTTACACTGACTATGAGACATCTGCATGTCTATTAAGACTAAATTTCAACATATAGCTGAGGGTAAGAGCTTCAATAGATCGATTTGTATACATAAGCTTATGATGACTATAATCAGAGGCAAATTTAACTATGTACTGTAATTGATAAACATAGCCAGTATCATGCTTCCACATACAATTTTGTAGCTGAACGTTACAGAAATGACACAGACATAATATGACACACTCTAGAGGTGTTCTAACCATAAATGTTTTGCATGGCAGACTCAAGAGTTGTTCTAACCACAAATGTCTTGTACGACAAACTTTAGATGTGTTCTAATCATAATTGTATTGTATGACAGACTCTAGCGTTGTTTTAAATCATAAATTTATTGTATGACAGACTCTAGGGTTGTTCTTAACCATAAATGTATTGTATGACAGACTCTTAGAGTTGTTCTAACCATAAATTTATTGTATGACAGACTATTGAGTTGTTCATATCATCATAATGGCAGGTGGAGATCGACAGACTCGGGGCGCCCCACGGAATTTGTACAGACATCAGAGACTTTAAGACGAAATACGGTGTCAAATACACGAGATTGGTAACATTACATTGTCACATACATGCCCTGTTAAATGTTACTATACATGTAATTGTAAACTTGCACTGTCCTATACATGTAACATTACAACGTCGCATCGATGTAACATTAATCTGTCCTGCTCATTTAACATTATGGTGTCCAATCCATGTAACATTACAGAACAACCAAATATATACTGAAACATGTTGTTGAATATGTTGTTGACACTTACTTCCTAGCAAATTCCCTTGGTATTTTTTTTTTTGGCTGCTATTCTGTAGACGTAGCAACACATACAACTACAGATAACTTTCAACTTTGACAACACATATAATTACAGATAACTTACAACTGTGACAGATCTGCCAGAAACCATATATCCATAATGCCCACAGCCACAGATCTGTCAGAAACTATATATATATAATGCCCACAGCCACAGATCTGTCAGAAACTATATATATATAATGCCCACATCCACAGATCTGTCAGAAACTATATATATATATAATGCCCACATCCACAGATCTGTCAGAAACTATATATATATATAATGCCCACATCCACAGATCTGTCAGAAACTATATATCCATAGTGCCCACATCCACAGATCTGTCAGAAACTATATATATATAATGCCCACATGCACAGATCTGTCAGAAACTATATATCCATAGTGCCCACATCCACAGATCTGTCAGAAACTATATATCCATAGTGCCCACATCCACAGATCTGTCAGAAACTATATATCCATAGTGCCCACATCCACAGATCTGTCAGAAACTATATATATATAATGCCCACATGCACAGATCTGTCAGAAACTATATATCCATAGTGCCCACATCCACAGATCTGTCAGAAACTATATATCCATAGTGCCCACATCCACAGATCTGTCAGAAACTATATATATATATAATGCCCACATGCACAGATCTGTCAGAAACTATATATATATAATGCCCACATGCACAGATCTGTCAGAAACTATATATCCATAGTGCCCACATCCACAGATCTGTCAGAAGACATGTGAACAAATACGAATACGAGAGAATTGTGCATGTTATGAGGAAAGCCTTAATGAGGTCAACAGTCTACTCGGAGACGCTTTGGGTCTTCACTCTTGCAGGACTAAACAAGGTAATGACAAACACGACAAAAGATCAACAAGAGTGTCTTACAAGGGAGACTTATTAAGAGTGTCTTACAAGGGAGACTTATTAAGAGTGCCTTACAAGGGAGACAGCTAGAGGGTCACGTTAGCACAAAACTGTTTAAGGCAATAGGTAATACTGACCTGTTTAACCGCGCGGTAATGTCAGGGTAGTTTCGAGCTTCAAAGGGTAGTTTGGTCAATGGGTGGGGTGGGGTGGGGGGTGGATAACGTACTGGTAACGTAAAGAAATGTACAAGCTGTGGTTCTCCGATGTGTTGAAGTTTGTCATTCTTATTCCATCAGCTTACGGTGTTAACAAAAAACGTACGGTATCTTGTTACTGAAAACACCCCAATTATTTATTTCTAATTGAAAATAAACCACAGACACGAAAAGAAGAACAGAAAACCTAGTTTTGTTAGGCTCGTCGTAGTGCCGTAGTCTTAGGCTCGTCGTAGTGCCGTAGTCTTAGGCTCTTCGTAGTGCCGTAGTCTTGGGCTCGTCGTAGTGCCGTAGTCTTAGGCTCGTCGTAGTGCCGTAGTCTTAGGCTTAAAAAACGTAGCTACTACGGCGAAAACGTAGGGGTGAACAGGTCTGTTAATATGATTTGGGTTTTGAGTTTTCAGATCTTTCACTAATGGGCATTCTTTTAGTTTTCTAAACTTTAATTACCAGATGATATGAATAATAAAACGACATACTTAAAAACAAATAGAAAAATATTGTCCATTTTGATGTAGTATTGATTTCGCTGATTGTGCAGAGGTGGCAATCTTACCAACAAAATTAGTTTGTTTTTAAAACTACAAACACATCCTTTTTTTTTTTTTTTTTTTTTTTTTTTTTTAGAACGAAAGTTTTTTAAATTGATGGAGTTTCAGTTTGGAGCCAACATTTCAAAGCTTTGTTAATGTGACAGTCCATGCAGGTAACTATTTGTTTTTTTTTAATTTTTATTTATCTTCTTTTTTTTTTTTTTTTTTTTTCTTTTTTTTTAGAACGAAAGTGTGTTAAATTGATGGAGCTTCAGTTCGGAGCCAACATTTCAAAGCTTTGTGAATGTGACAGTCCATGCAGGTAACTTCACCTACTCCACTCCACTCTACGCTACTCTACTCCACTCCACTCTACGCAACTCTACAAAGATCGATGGATACATACTATAACTATGGACATTAAAATAATGCAAATTTGAACGTGGATTTAACGGTTGTCTTCTGATAAAACATCAGCCAGGTGTCTCCTCTTTTATCTGATATAGACTTATATATATAATATATTAAACTATTGTTTCTTTTGTCTGCCAGCGAGAAGAAATATGAGAAGACACTAACACTTCGTGACTGGCCGAGTCCGTCCTTCGCTGTGAGTCATTTTTAAGGGAATAGTTAAAAACAATTGAAAAACTTAACTACAGCTAGACTTTGGAATAATGTACAGCTAGACTTGGGAATAATCTATAGCTAGCTTTAGGAATAATCTTCAGCTAGACTTGGGAATCATCTACAGCTAGTGGGAATAATCTACAGCTAGACTTGGGAATAATCTACAGCTAGACTTGGGAATAATCTACAGCTAGACTTGGGAATAATCTACAGCTAGACTTGGGAATAATCTACAGCTAGACTTGGGAATAATCTACAGCTAGACTTGGGAATAATCTACAGCCAAACTTGGGAATAATCAACAGCTTGACTTGGGAATAATCTACAGCTTGACTTGGGAATAATCTACAGCTAGACTTGGGAATAATCTAACACCACATTTTAAAACCCTAAAAAGTCACAAAGTTTAAGAAGAACAACGGTTCATCCAATCAAATAAATCCTACATAAATTCAATTTTTTAAAAATAAAAATGCCATGTTACGTAATGGGGATCATTTATTGTTCACTAATTCGTGTTTTTTTTGTTTGGTATCATCTTAAAATACAAACCTATTTCAAAATAGGCCAACAGCCTTAATTGTCACCATTTGTTGTAATTTAAAACAAAACCAATACGATTATTTTAAATCAACGAGTTAGCTCCCTCTTATCTTTGAGGACACATTCTTAGACGCGTTTGTTTGTTTCAGAGACTAATTGTGGAAACAATTTGTAAAGACAAGCACGGGGAGATTTGTCAACGGTTGAGAGATAAAACTACAACTGATCTAGCGTAAGTTGATGTAAATATTGTCCTAAAGACGAATGTGTTCTTAAATTATTATTATTATTTATTTATTTTTTTAATGCAACACACGAACAGTCAATAATAAATCGGCTGACTGTCGATTTAAGTCAAGAACCATTACCCCTGGAACAAAATTCGGCTTTAATTTTTGCAGTAGCAGTCCTTGTTAGGACTTTATGAATGCCTGCTGAAAACGTGTTTTAAGAAAATTCAATGTGTTCAAATACTACTTTAGTACAATTGGTACCGTGTTTAATCCTGGTTTTACAAACAGGGCGTATGTGTCAGAAATCAGGCATTAAATAGTGTGTTCGATGAGTGTGTATAGGCCACGTGATATCCACCATTGCAAGAATTAGACTGTGAGTGGTTTCAGAAATATACTATAAAAAAATTAATTATGAAACAAAAAAATAAGCCAAAAGAAAACAAATATGGCTACCTGCTCATCTGAAAACTGAACATTTACATTTAGTAGAAAAATAAAGCCATAGATTTTAATATTTAGTTAGATTTTTTAAAAAAAAATTTCATTACAAATGTCAGTTAAAACGTATATGATAGTGAGTAAGCTTCTCAGCTGATTGGCATCGCTTATTTACAATAGGCTTTCCCTGCATACTGTTCTGTCAATAGACATTCCACACACAGTGTTCTGTCAATAGACATTACATACACAATGTTCTGTCAATAGACATTACATACACAACATACACAACGATGATTTCAAGTGTTCTAAACCTCCACACACACAAAAATTGAATTAAACATTTAACATTAATAGAATTTTTTTTATGGCGTCTATTTTTAGCCGTGAATTTATCAAACTGAACATTTACTACGAGGATCTCAACTATGAACACTTATCTGAACAGGCTGATTATGAGGTAATTAATTGCTATATTTATTTCAACATTTCCAAGCGCTTTTGATAAAACTATGAGGCTTACTTTTGGGGGTCGTCCATTAACCAAGTCAACAAAATAGGGGGGGGGGTTTGGAAATGTTTGAGAATTGTTGAAAAAGGGGGGGGGGTGGGGTTAGGTTAGTTAACGTCAACAATCATGTTTTTTTTTCGATTAAAATTTTTATCCTAATAGTTGACTGGTTATTTCATTATTTTAAAAAAAAAAGGGGGGGTTTGGAAATGTTTGAGAATTGTTGAAAAAGGGGGGGGGGTGGTGTTAGGTTAGTTAACGTCAACACTCATGTTTTTTTTTCGATTAAAATTTGTATCCTAATAGTTGACTGGTTATTTCATTATTTTAAAAAAAAAAATAATTAGTGCAAATTAAAGTTAAATAGGTATATAATTTTTTAGCTATTTTAAAATTTTAACTTGTTGATTAACAAGCTAAAGAAGCAAAAACAAATTATTTTCCCTACAACTTTGTGTTATAAAATAGATCAGCATAAAGTAAAATGTATTTATATTTTTATTGATATTATAACTCAATTTTTTTATTTTGGTGCGGTGGGTGTATATAATTATTAACATAATTACTTGTGGTGGGGGGGGGGGGTATTGAAAGTTTGACTTGTCTTTCGAGGTGGGTTTTATTGCGGGGTGGGGGGATGACTGAAAATGAAATGTAACCCTAAAAGCTATTTAAAGTAATGCAGACAGTTCTTACAAAACTTTCCTAAACTAAAGAAATAGTATTGAACTCAGCTAAAATTGTAGATTTATAACATTTATAACTAGACTGGAACAAATTAAGTTCCCTTTATAACTAGAATGGAACAAATGAAGTTCCCTTCTAAATACGTTTAAAATGTTTTTGATTATATTTCTACTTCTTGTTTTGTCCAGCTGTCCCAGTTTATGTCTGACATCGGAGGAACCATTGGACTTTGGATTGGACTGTCAGTGCTTAGCATGTTTGAGTTGCTTCAGCTTTTCCTTGACCTCTTGACCTACGTCACGTGTCACCAGTGGCTGAAGCGAAGAACGAAACATTACGCTATTCACCAGACGTAAAGATAAATTTCATGCATATTAAAAAGGGATGTGACAAAATAAAAAAATAATAATAATTTTGTTGTTTTTCAAATCTAAATTCTATATTTTTTGGCTTTGAGCTATTCTTAGATTGACCTTTAACTCGGGTCAAATATAAATTAGCTGGTAAGTTTATAGTGAGCATTGTCACGTGAGCAAGAAAGGGGACGACTCAGCTCCGCAATAGAGATTTTCTTTGACCAGAAGTTTCTACGGTGCACCCAGGCCGGCATCAACCATTAAGTAATATGAGCACGTGCTTATGGCATGAAACAGGTATCAACCATTAAGTAATATGAACATGTGCTTGTGGCATGAAACAGGTATCAACCATTAAGTAATATGAACACGTGCTTGTGGCATGAAACAGGTATCAACCATTAAGTAATATGAGCACGTGCTTGTGGCATCAGAAGAAAGGAGGAAACACGAAAACATAAAATAGAAACAAAAGTCTACACTTTTTAAACATGGGTGGTCTGTTGTTTAGAAATGGAGAATTCAAAGTACATGGACACGTGTAGGCGGGTACCTAAATTAAGTTTTGCTTCAGTAGCACTTAATGGGCCAAAAGAAGAGATGATAGTGAACATCTATATCCTCTGAGCAAGCATTATTTAGCTTTCCAAAGCCCTGACAATACATTCCACTTTTAGCTGATGATAAGACGAAATTATGAGGCACATCGTATGGTCTGGCCTAGTATGGTCAGGCCTAGTATGGTCAGGCCTATTATGGTCAGGCCTATTATGGTCAGGCCTAGTATGGTCAGGCCTCGTATGGCCAGGCCTAGTATGGCGAGGCCTAGTATGGACAGGCCTAGTATGGTCAGGCTTAGTATGGTCAGGAGTAGCATGGGGCAGATTCAATCTGATTGCATCACTATATATTTTATTTGACGCAGAAATCACAATTCGAAATAAACCTCCAGGTTTGAGCAAAAAAATTGTCCCAATCTTACACACGTCACGTACATTTTCAGCCAAACTCCCAAACCCTAATACCCAAAACGTGTTTCATGTTTTTCAAGGGGAAGATGAATGACAAATGATTTGTTCAGTATTTTTGTGTTTTTGTTCGGAGATGAATTGTGTAGCTGTTGCTCTGTGAGTTCTGTTTGTGGGAAAAAATAAAAAATAAAATGTATTTTTGAAGGGGAAAATGAAGGAAATATGAAACGTATATTTTTTTTAAACAGACGTTTACCCATTTACTTAACCGCTTATGAAATAAATGATACATAACGTAAAAGTAACATAAATGCAATGGAAAATGCGTATAAAGTATTTTATACGAAAAACATTGGGTTTTTAGGAGTTATTTAATGTTACATGTTTGTGGCAGGCTTATACATAGCTGTCAAGTATTTGCTGCACCTTCAATTCTGAGCTTGCATTTAGGACGCAGCCATCAGCGTATTAGAGGTCTCGAATAACAGTTTCTCTGACTTACGTAAATGGCTTGCAGTCAACTAAAGTTGAAAAGCCCCCCAGCCTGACCTTTATATTGCTGTCAGTATATTCAAGAGAAGCATCATTCAGCAAGGGCTGAGAATACCGAGCTAAAAAGTGTTGTGGCTGGAATGCGGTCTTGTTTCAAGACAGCCATCGTCATTAGGGACGTTTGTGTAGCTCAGCGGTCGCCAACCTTTCGGATCCCACGAACCACTAAATTCATTTTTTTTTAATCCTAAGGACCTCTAAAATGAATTTTTAAACGATAAATACATCTTTACAAAAAATGATCAGAAAACTTCCATTTTATTTATATGAAACGAACCTACTTAATAAACCGAAATTATAAATGCTAATTTAATCATAACAAAATCTTTAAAAGGTTGTTTAGGGGTAACAAAAATTATTCAAGTCAGTTTAATTATTACAAAATAATGACATATTTTTTTAGGTGTGAATTATATGTTCCCGCATCATTTAATGATGTTTATGGGTGTTTGGCTCCAGTGACGGAGAGCCATATTTATTTCATGCCGAGTTCGCTTCTGATTTTTAATGTTTGTGACAAATGAAAATTTATTTTCGCCACAAATATGTTGTTGACAATTAAATCCATTTTTCATTGATTTTCCACTCATCCATGAGCATCCACTTTTTATGGAGAACCAAAAAACCAGAAATGAAGTCTTGATAAAGATGACTGGAATTTTGATGTTTTTAAAATGTTTTTTGTTGTTTTTTGTTGTTTTTTGTTGTTTTTTGTTGATCGGATGTCAGATGAATGAACCTTTAGTTTTCATTCTTGATTAAATTGCTGTTTTCAATGTTTGCTACAAATAGATCCATTATCCACATAGTGCCAAGTCTGGGATCTTCTTTCTTTGGTTAATAACAACAAAATAATAATTCATTGAAGGATTGCAAGTGGTGCTGAACAGTGTTTACCACCTGCCGGTTGACTTCCTTCTCTCTCCGTGGCGAAACGTGTTCAGCTGAAAAAGATATGCAATTGTTTTCACATTTTGATGAATATATCATTGGTGAGAAGCATTGGTTGGCGACCGCTGGTCTAGTCCATGGCAGGTCTCCAACTCTGTTAAACGGGCTATGGACATTTTCGTTTAGTCGCAGTCGGACAATTTAAGGACGTTTCAAAGTGATCGGCCCATCTTTCAAAAATCTTCCTCTTGTCTGCCAGTGGCTGTCATTGGCTGTCAGTGGCTGTCATTGGCTGTCAGTGGCTGGGTTCCAAGCTTAAGATTGGACATGCGCCCTGACGACTGCGGCGCATAGACGTCCATTAAGGCATTGTACAAAGTTGATCTTAGGCGGCATTTAAACTTAGGAATGATCTAGAACTATAGTTAGGAATAATCTAGAATTAAACTTAGAAATAATCTACAGCTAGAATTAAGAACAACTCAACAATGTCATGTTACGTTTCAGGGGATTATTGACTGGTGACTGTTAGGGTTTTCTAGCACTGTTAAATACAACCAATTAAACCAAAAATTGGATGGCCAACAGCCTCAACAGTTCTTCTTTGTAATAATTCTTTTTAAATTTGGTTTTAAAAATCGAGTTAGTTCCAGCGCACCTGTGAGGACAAATTCTTACCTGCGTTTGTCCGTTCCATCGTTTGTTTCAGAGATTAATTGTGGAAACAATTTGTAAAGATAAACGCGGGGAAGTTTGTCAACGGTTGAGAAATAAAACTACAACTGATCCAGCGTAAGTTTGAGTAAATAATGACTTAAAGACAAATATGTTCTTTGAATTTATTTTTTTTTTAAAGGGAGACACCCGAGTCAGTGTGTACTTGGCCGGCTCCTGATAGCAAATTAAAACAAGAACCATCACCCCTGGATCAAAATTCGGCTTTAATTTTTGCAGTTGCAGTCCTTGTTAGGAATTTATTAAAGCCTGCTAACAGTTAAAATCAATAGTCTTTGTTTAAAGATATTTAAATTTGTTCAAATACCATAGTTAAAACACAGTTTAAAAAAAATTCATATAAAGACTAAACACAATTGGTACCGTGTTTAATCCAGGCTTTAAAATCACGGCTCCTGTGTTAGCAGGTGAGGCATTAAATACTGTGTACGATGATTCTGTATAGGCCACTTGTCATCCCCCATTGTACGACTAGACTGTAAAATATACAAATTAAGAAACAAAACAAAAAAAAGCAAAAAAATCCAAAGCAAAAAAATCCAAAGCAAAAAAATCTGTCTTAGCTGCTCTCCTGAAAGCTGCAAGTAACGTTAAGTAGGAAAATGTTTTGATAGATAAAGATATTTAGTTTTTTTTTTAAATTTTTTTTTTTTTTCATTAAAGATTTGACAGTTCAAACATGCATGACGGTGAGTGAGCATCGGAGCTAATTAACGTCGCGACATTACCATAGACATTCCGTGCACAATGTTCTATCGATCGATATTAAACACACACAATGTCCTGTCAATAGACATTCCACACACACAAATTATACTATGAATGAATCCAGTCACCGTATGGTCACAGTTCACAAGTTCAACAAATCTTACAGCACATCAATAACATGACGTAGCCAACGAAATGATTGGAATGACACGACTCTCCACCAAGATAAAAAGCTTTCAATACATTTGAACATTATAATCGTTTGAACGAAAACAAGAATTCGAAAAATGTTTCATTGGGTTTTTTTTGTTGTTTTTTTTTTTTCTTTAAATTTCCCCGAACAAAGATAGATTAACTTTTATTAGAATTGTTTTAAATTTTGGGGAAAAAAATTATTATTTAATAATTAATTCTTTTTTTTTTTTGGGTCTATTTTTAGCCGTGAATTTATCAAACTGAACATTTACTACGAGGATCTCAACTATGAACAGGCTGATTATGAGGTTATTTATTTTAATTTTGCAACCGCTTTTGTAAAACTTTGAGTATGAGGTTTACTTTTTCCATTTACAGTTTTTTCTTTCTCTCTCTCTCTCTCTTTTTTTTTTCTTTTTTTCTTTTTCTTGTTTCTTTCTTTCGGACTTAAATTGAAATATAGACTCTAACTCTAAATGCTATTAAAATTATTCATCAGACAATCCTTTCAAAATTAAGAAATAGTATCGATTTAAGCTAAAATTTCATTTTCTCTAACTAGGAATGGAATAAATCAAAATTACAGATAAAATACTGGAGAAATTGTTTAGATCTTAAAAATATTTCTTGCTTTTTTTTTTTTTCCCCAGCCGTCCCAGTTTATCTCTGATATCGGAGGAACCATTGGACTGTGGATTGGCCTGTCAGTGCTCGGCATGTTTGAATTGCTTCAGCTTTTCCTTGACCTCTTGACCTACGTCACGTGTCACCAGTGGTCGGGGCAAAGAACGAACCATTACGCTATTCACCAGACGTGACGTGAAATGTCGTCCATGATAAAATAGAGATTGGGCCAAATTAAATGTTTGTTATTTGGCGATTTGTTGTTTTTATCTCAATACTATATTTATCGGGTTTTAGCTATTCTCGGGTAAAATATAAATAAACTGGTAATTTTACAGTGAGCACTGTCACTAGATTTT